TAAAATTTTGGCAATAGACTAGTAGCTCCTTGCTTTCATTTGTACATTGCGATGTTGTATTCCCTGAACACTTAAAACTATTAAAATTAATTACCTCTTCTTCTTGGTCCTGAGAGGTCGTCAAATCTTGAAAATCGGTCGGTGCTGCAACACTGTTGTCATCTACTTCCTCTGGAGAGAGCGTCAATTTCGACGAAAACACGAATGTCTACATAGACACGCTTCGGTCGATGTAGAGGGGTTAGCCAGCCAATGTGAATTCGCAGTACCGCTGACCGGGTAAGGGTTTAATATTTCACCTTTTTCAAATCGCATCGACGGTGTATAGTTAACCGGAGGTTTGGAGAAGCGATCCTTTGCCACAGTTAGAAGCTCTCGATCAGTGGGGAGCAAATTGGATCTATTGTAATTATTGTCGCCGTGGTTATTGTTGAAGCCGAAAATTGTCCTCCGATTGTTGTTATTATTGTTGTTGTTATTGTTGTTGTGATTGTTGCGGTGATTTCGCAAGCTAAAGTTGTTGATGTTTTGATACCTTCTGCTTTGTCGCTTGCGTCGCCTTTTTGCATTATCAGCCTGTTTTTGCTGATTCGAACGCCTTAATTTCCGCGCATCGTATTCAGACCAATCGGCCTTCCATACTCTCCTCGTACCTATAAGACGCCACCCGGAGCTATCAGCGTCCTTTTCCTTGTTAAATTCTACCTCCAAACTGGGGTGTAAGTCGGGAGAAGATGGTAGCCATGCAGTATGGTGTGCTATGTTGGCAGACAGCGCCTTCACCTCATCGAGTATTTCAAGCTCCAACATTGAATTTGTTTGCATTGTGCAACTTGCCGCGGTATCTAAAGAGAGCTGGGTGAGATGGCTAACCTCATCATTTAAGTTACGTAGGTCAGTTGATAGCTCTGACGTCACTGATTTGACCGCCACATTAACATTCTCCTTTGTTGACATCGTTGCAGTATCAAGTGGTTTTGGTAATGTGGTTTTTTATGGCAACGACACTGCCAGCTAAACTGTTACTTTTATTAATTGCGGCCAACTCATTTTTCATACTAGTCAGCAAAATTTCTATGCCATCTATCGCTTCATGAACGAGGTTCGGTTTTTCTTGTTGAAACGTGAGCTGGTGCATCACCTCCGCATTGCCATTCAGTTGCTTTTCGATCGATTTTTGCTGTTCAGCAATGCTTTTAAAATCGAGTTTTGCCTGTAAAAGCTCTTGACAGGACTCGCAGCATGGTAGTATGTAAGATGTAAAGTCCGATACCTTCCTGTCCTTCCTGCGAAGTGAGTTCCGTTCCCCATTAGAAAGCAGTCACGCTTACCACTACATCACCGGCTTGTAAAATCATTATCAAGCATGATATTTTGATCCAATATCTCGCGTAATATTGAGAGCGGAAAAATATAATTAAATTGATGATTTTTCCAACACTGAGAGCTACAAACGTTGCATACGAAGGATTATGGTTTTGATGGGGGAGAAATAGTTAAATGAAGCGTGTCATCCAGGAGAAAATCTCTGCGGAGATGGGCATCGACATGTACAGGTAATCAAAATGAACAAGACTAGCAACATGTTGACCAAATTCAAAGTGCCACACCGTTTGATAAATTTATGTAAATTTCAGCGATCCATAGTGCACACGTTATTAAAGGTAGGTTTTGCGTTAAGCAACACGATTTTTCTTGAAAATTTTAGCGCAATTTCGTATAAACCAGCAGTGTTGCATTTGTTGATTCGTCTTATACACAGAAAAAAATTGACAGTTGCATACATTATTTTCAGCATTTCATGAAATATCTCAGAACTTTACACGATTTGTAACTAGTATGATATGTGACACTCCATTGATGTGTATCATATTGAACAGAAATTTACACTACTGTTTTCAACTGTGTAGCTTAAAATCAAACTAGGGGCTACATCATGCGATGGTAAAAATTCAAATTTATTTTCTAAGCACAGTTCCGTGAATAATTATCTGATTTAGATATGCCTAGAAGCATTGGATGGGAAATTTACTCTAGTTTAAGCAAATTTATTTGAACTTTGAAGTTGTTGTTGAACCCGGTGATGATTTGGATAGTTTGGGGTCATGTCAAATGTGATATTTTACACAGAAAACATAATTTGATGTTTAAAATCCTAAAATCTCTTCTCGTTTAATGTTGAGCTATAGTTGGCAGAAACACCGAAATTGTTTACAAGCTTGTATGCAACATTGATGAATTCTGCAGAAATTCACATAAATTTTTATGCAGTCAATGAATGCTGAAGTAATGTTACATTTCAAGTTCTTACCACTTTCTTGGCGCTTTTTGGAACATGTCCGGATGTGGAAAAATGTGAACCTAAAGATTGAATGTTACAACCAATGGACTATTCATTGAAAGCTGGTGCAGTTTTATGTGTCGCATGACCAGTTTTTGGTACTATTCAAGTTTTGACTATTTCCCTGGGGAGTTTCTGGATCAAGTCAGAATGTGGCTAAATATGGTTCTTTAGATTACCACCAATGGATTAGTCATTGAATGCGGATTCGGTATGATGTGTTGGGGCCTCCCTAAGATCCTACAAAAAACTGTGCTGGAGGTGGCTGGGTTCGATTTCCTATCTGGTTTAGGAATGTTTCGGGTTGGTACATTTTTTGACTTACCTTGGGACAGAGTATGATTGTATGTACTAGCCAAACAACTATACTAATGATAAAATGGTACAAGTATCGAAAGGTCTCAATAAATAACTGTGAAAGTGTATCAAGAACACTAAGTTGAAAGCACGCAATAAGCTAATATGCGATAAGCAATAAGCTTGAAGTGCGAAGAAGAAGACGCATGATGCGTCGCATGACCTGTTTTGATACTATTCTAGTTTTGGTCACTACTCAGGAGGTATCCGGAACCTACCACATAGTGGCCAAGACAACTGGCGGCTCTCAATATGGTTTCATTAACTCTACCTTGCAAAATCAAGAAGTTTGATATCCATGTTGAAAACTTTTTGGGACAAAACCGATACAGCCCCCTTTTAAAAAAAAATTTCACAAAAAATGTCGGTTGTTTATGGACCGTCTTGTGATTTTCGACCGGTGGTAGACTTGTTATATGGAAAATAGAACAGTTGACATAACCTAAAAACACCCGGAACGTTTACGGTGTCCAGTAGCCGCTTGAAATTTCAAACAAATACACTTCAAATCGAATAAATCCCTCCTCGAATGCGTCAAGGTACATCAAAATGAGTTTATTATTCACTGAGCTGTGGTGCTTTCATTTGTAACAAATTTAGCTTGTCTTCTTAATTATTAAGGCAAAAGTGGATCAGTCTCGAGTGACTAACTTACCAACAAACATTGGAAGCAGTATAAGAGCTTATTCAGGCAAAAATATACTTCTTCAGTTAAAAATTGCTTATTCATCCTTTAATCAGCCCAACTTATATGTTTGGTACGTTGATTTTTTTTTTAAATAATGCAAATCATTCATGATTGAACAACAACATTTGCTATCTCTAGAAATTTTAACAAGTTTGATATAATTTCTAATTTTTCCGGAGACCAATTTCATGTGTTCAAATTTGATTTGAACATTTTGAGGTCGTCATAATTGCTCATCAAAAGCGGCACCAATGGTGTAGTGATAAGCGTGATTACCTCTTACCCCAGCAGGCCTGGGTTCAATCCCAGTCGGCGCCGCCAGGATGTTCTGAGGCATAACATCTCTGATCACGCCTTCCTTCGGCAGGGAAGTAAAGCCGTTGGTCCCCGGTTCATGAGTTGATGGGTCGATAGGTAGGGTCCAGGTGTGGAAGTTGCCTCCCTGGTGTAAGTAGCATTGGTCCTCAGCACGGAAAACAAGATCGACGGAAAACAAATTAAGGAAAAATAAATAAATAAATAATTTAAATTGTTTGAGGCTATTCTGTGAGAACTTCAGCCCATATGGTTGAGACACTTTTATGGAAGTGAAATTTTTTGACAAATTGTCATTGCAATAGTAGATTATTATCTTTTTTCAACAAAATTGTATTGACCATTTTGAGGATCAACCGCTCTTTTGGAATTGGAATTGTCTCTGCAATTGCAATAGCACTTCTTTCAAAAAGATCGAAAAGTTTATGAACGACCAACCATTATTAGTCCACAATTTTGAAAATCTATTTCAACAATATCCAATTTAAAATGATTGACCATTTTATAAAAATAGGGCCATCTTGAATCAACTATTTTGAAAATCATCCACCATCTTGAATGTACTAATTTTAAAATCTACTGTCATCTTAAATAATCATTTTTGTAGATAATCTACCTACTCGGAAATGGAAATGTCATTGCATTAACAACAATATTGCATTCCGATAGATCGAACATTTTATAAAAGATGGGTCAGCTACCATCTTGATTCCACATCTCATCTGCTTTTACGTCTTCAGTAGCTTTTCATAAAATTTTACGTTCTACATCGTTGCCGAAAACAGCAAACCTCTAGCAGAACATTTTTCTTCTCCCTTATAGAAACTTGATATAACTTTTAATGTGATTTGTGTAACAGAAATTGTCATTGCCCTTTTACAAAAACTAAATTAAATCATGTCATCCTTTTTATTTATTTTTTAATGTCAGCATGGGGAAAAATATTGGAACTTGATGATTCTGACTAGTTTTTGAAGCGTTCTTTGTTATTAATCCCTTCACATCAAGAAGCTCAATATTGAAAGCCAGATTCTTATAAGTCCATCGTTCTTTGGCATTTTGCTTATCCTTCAATTAGCATAGTGGATACTCAGTACATATATTCAGTAATGCATGCAGGCTCAACTTGTTTTTCCCACTCCTGTCCATCCGGATGCTTGTGATATAAGGAAACTCTACAAACCACTTTATAACTGGTCCAAGTGGGACCATTATTTCATTGTTTATTATCTATTAGTGGTATTGCCATGTTTGGTCTTAACCACGGTAAAATTCGTCATTGATTGTGTTAATCAACATACTTGTAAGATAACAGGGAACATCTTCCGAGAGCAAATGTAAATACTGCCATCCTGTCTGACATAGCAGATAACACGTTCCAACATACACTAAATGCAAATTGATCACGATAAATAAACAGAAATGTGACTTCACTAAAACCTATCAATATGAAGGGAAGAAAGGGGAGGGGTGCGATTTCTTTTCTTTATCTTTTTGTTTGTGCATGAGAAGAGATTCAGTCGCTGGAACTTTCGAAAAAGCATAATCGGTTTCCTTCACTCGAGCCAGTATTCGAGTGGAATTCTATCGAACAACCGTTGCATGAAATCGTGCAAATGTTCAGTAAGCTTTGATCGCAGCTGTGGTTTCATCTCCTTCAGCAGCTCCTGGGCGTTTGTGTTGATGAACAGGTTCATTGCGGCATCTGAAATGTATGGCTAGTGAGCGGTTTTTGATGGAAAGAATAATAAAAACACACTTACGGATGATTGCATTCTGGTTGGAGACGTTCTCAACACCCATTTTGATGTCCTTCACACTAAAGTCCATCTTGGTTTGATCCACTGTGACGTAGGTTAGGCCGTCGTCACCCTGATACGGTGAGGATTTCATGTAGATTTTCGCCTTGACGCCATCTGTCGAATGAAATCGATGGATTAAGACAGTCGATCGGATTCAGTCTGAATAGGTACTCACCGTATTCTCCCCAGTATTCTCCGGAACCAGAGGCTTGCAGCAACAACAGAACCCCGGAAGATTTGTACTGTGCCCGGGCTTTGATCTTTGGAATTTCGATTGTAAGCTGAAACTGCAGCGTGTCGATGTCGGAGCGCACATTGACGAACGTTAAATTACTAACTCCAAAAGCTTCAATGTTCTTGAAAGATGCCCTGTAGCCATCAGGTCCGCTTCCCAGGGAAATACTGATCTCATCGACGACAACCGGTTCCACCTGAAGATCAATGCAAACATTGTGTAAACTTTCTTCGTTTTCATTATTTGTGACCCACTAATAACCAATCAGCCCAAAATGGAATACACAGTTTGAGCTTGTCAATATTCACCTCCCGTTACAGCGTAAGGGGTCCGATTGACAGAGCAGTTCTTCCATTGTTCGTGAGAGGAATTAATTTCGATGTCAAGTGCCATCGGTACGAATCGATTCGATTGAATAATGAAAGTGTGTCAAAATGTAGGTACTCGAAAGTGCTCTGTGTGCCTAATTAGTGGGCACCCGTAATTAGACCATTATAGCATGCATCTTCCAAGGAGAAATCGAAGCCAATATACTCACGTCAACGATTCCGATCTCCGGAATTCCACCGTCCCGCAAATGTCGTGTCAGTTTATTGGCAGCATATCGTAGACACTCGTTCACTTCGGGATTATTTCGTTCGCAGCGGTGCATGTAGTACGCTGTGGGGTGCAAATGAAGAGCATCAATAAAAACGAGAGAATTAAAAGATCGCGTAGTAAGAATGCTGCCAACACAAACACACAGGCTAGGTAAATAGGGTAGGGTGGGGTCTAAAACGCACCCCGGGGGGTAAAATTACCCCGCGCTGTTTTCCATCGGTTTCCGATGGTTAATTCTCGATTAATTTTTCACAGGTACGTATCTGCTTTTGTAAACAAAGATTCAAACGCCAATTTGTCGAAACGCTTAGCACTCCCACGCAAACTAACAACACCATCTTGTTGGGGAAACATTACCCTTTCTGATGGTGATGTTAATTTGCGTGGAAGTGCTAAGATTATCGACAAATTGACGTTTGAATCTTCGTTTACAAAAGCAGTTACGTCATTTGATAAAGTAATCGAGAATTCGTGAATTTTCTTGAACAAGCATTAAATCCTAGAATTAGTGAGGGGAAAGCAACGAAAAAACGCACGGGGCCATTTTACCCCAGAGGTGCATTATCGACTGTTCTCCCCATACATAAGTGCATATCCGAAATCTAGACAGCTCATTTAGGAAAGACTTCCACCATCTGTTGCCGCTGCTGCTGTGGCTGTCTGCAAGAAAAACTCGTCACGACAAGGTAAGCTTGATTCCGCACCGCTTGCCTTTTGAACATACCCTCTCCCGCCCCTTACGTGGCTTTGGCAGATCTTCATACATTGCAATGAGTTTACAGGTTCAGCTAGGGATGGTCTGAAATTATTTTTGCATAGATTGAATTTATGTGGTTGGGCCTACTTAACCCTCTCCTTTCCATGGTAACACAGGTGATCCATAGCTTGTCGGTCCGTCTCATGTTTGTCAATCTACCATTAAATAGTCAGTGCTTATTTAAGCTTCTCAGTGTGTTCATTATTCCAGTCCATATGTATTCTTGAGGATTGACTATTGAGAAACAATATACTATTGATTTTAATCAAAAACTTTTTATATGGTTTCGATAATTTTAGGCTGTATGGAAAATCTTTTGTATCTCAAAACAGCCAAAAACTTTCTGGGATTTAAAGAGTTAATTCCCTCATACGGTGAAACATAACAAATTAAATTAACATCACGGATATGCTGATCAATTATAAGTTTCAAGCATTTGAGAAGAACATAGATTTATAGCACATAACATGCGGAACTTTGAACAAGATGCGTTTCCAAAAAGTGGAGTCATTTCACTCTCCTTACTGTGTTATAACTGAAAGAGCTGCACATCGAAACGTCAAATTTTAAATAAAACAACTGAACTAAAATCAAATTCCATGAACTGAAATTTGATAACAGTTTGGTTATCCGAAGAAGGTTCTGTCAGGCAAGCGAATTCAGATTTTCCCATAGCTGAAACTCATGAACGATCAGAAACTTTGTGTGATTGTGGAAGAGAACGATTCTGTTGACGTTAGTAAAGAGTGGCCGCGAAATTTTAGCACTATGGATATTTGCTCAGAAATCATCCTGCATACGATGAAAAATAACCATGTGTATTGTTGTATTGTATTGTTGCCATAATGGAAATTTGGTAAGATTATGTTCAGGCTAGGAATTTTCACTGCCCGTGACAAGGGGGAATCAACTCTGCACACTGTGCTGAAACACAGTATGACACTCTGTTCGGCACGTTAAGGCACATGGTGACACGTATTACACGAACAATATTATATAAAACGGCAACACTGTTGAGCGCTGAAGTTTTTCTACTCGATTTACCCGTTGCTAAGGTTTGTTTACTCCAAATGAAAATATCGGTCAATACTGGTGTAATACCCCGTTCACATTACAGCGTATATCACGTGATATACGCTGTCTTGCAATGAACACTCATACATCTAGTTTTCACTGGAAATCCTATGTATGAGTGCTCATTGCAAGACAGCCTATATTATGTGATATAGGCTGTAATGTGAACGGGGTATAACAGTGATTAATCATAAAATTATAAAAGGTTATTAAGATGTACCAAGTTTGGTGCCGGAAGAGGCATCGGATGTGGTATGTTTTGTCAAAAGTTCTGCTCGATTGAAAAACTATTAAATATAATATACATACTCAACTTTTAGGTGTACTTTTGGAAACAGTTGGAGCTGAAGTATGGCCAAATAAATCTCCACATCAAGCATTTTTAAAACACAAACATTAAAATCTAAATAAGACAGAGCTCGACACCGGGGAAACCGGGAGGGCAGAGATGTCCCAACAACCGAAAGGAATTCAAAAAAGACTAAACTTTAAAATACAATGCAGCATCATTTAAAAAGTGCATTACTGCTGCCAGTGTGAAGGGATCATCACCCAGCATGTCGCGTATGCTATTTTGTAGCCCGTGGAGTTCCTGCAGGTTCTGATACTGAGGGCATACGCATAGAATGTGTTCGGTTGATGCTGGGGTTCTACAACCGACGCAAGTCCTGTGGAACGGCGTTCCACAGAAATTGTGCGAGATCTTGCTGTGACCGGTCCTCACACGCGACGCTATCTTCAGATCCCACTGGTTCAAAGGTTCTGTCCACTTCCTCGTCGTCCCTTTGATCCGTCTAATAAAGAGAGAGCGGTTTTGGGCCCACTCCGTGTCCCAAGCTTCCCATAGTTCGCGATCCAGCGCTTGACTTCGTGTACCGGTACTTCGTTGGTATGGCGAGGGGCAGATGGTCCTGCACCAGCCAGAAAGTCAGCTTCAGAGTTGCCTGGTATTCCGCAGTCCCTCGGAACCCATTAGAATACCGTGTTTGGTGGCACGGACTTCATCGTCGACTGTACCTAGGGATGAGTCGGGGTCTCGGATGTCAGGGCTTGTTTGACGCTGTGCGAATCCGTGAGGACCAGGATCGGTCGGTCCGAGGGCGTTGTAGCAGCGATGAAGATGGCAGCAGCTTCAGCAGAGAAGACAGAACATTGCGGTGGTAAGCTGCAGCTGGTTGGTGTGGTGTTTCCGGCTAGACCGATACCGACCACGGCCCGTTGCAAATGAAGTTTAAAGGAGATATTAATATCATAAACTATAATAATTATAATCTTCAGGTCGATAAAAATCTTGTTCACTCACATCTGTTCCTCTACTATATACACTGGAGACAAAAACCCTAGAGGCATCATGGCTTTGGGTAACTTTTACACCATTGCTTCAACTGGAGAACTAACCTTATCGAATGATATTCATCGAAAAGCAACCATTTGTGGTTACATTTCACTTATAGAGTTGCTGAAAAAAGATTTAGTTTTGTCAAGCAACGCCCTAGTCTATTTTCAAACATTATTTATAGAAGATAAATCTTAAACACAGCTTTTGATGTAATTGTTCCTTGTTCAGAAATATATTTCAATAGCAACAACACCATCTTCGATCGATAATAGCTTAACCATCTTTTGAAATATGGGAGCAAATTTAGGAAAAAATAACATTCGTTTCCGATTTTCAATGAACCATCCATGAAGGCTTGAAGTTGTAAACAAACAATCTCAAAAGTCATAACTGCAGGGTTGACAAACTCATGGGGTACTGAGACTGACAGCTTGATTGCCACAATGCGGCACGTTCGGTGCAACGCTGGGCACAGCTGTCGGCCTAGATAAAGTACTAGGCACAGATTGAGATGCGCAGAGTTGAGTTCCCCTTGGCCCGTGATAAATTTGATGTGGAAGAAAAATTTAAGCAGGAAAAATTACGATCTTTGCAAACAAATTTTTAAATTAGATAGCAATCTGTAGTTGCGGTAAAAGAAGTGAGATTTTCGTCACAACCGGAACTGTGAATCAAGATCCTGTGAATCAATGTGGTGTCCTCCTAGCTGTTCGTCGAGGTATAAAGGTACACTTAATTGAGGACGATGCATGGACTGCGGTGGAACAATTGTGGTTAGCGATTGAGCTCGCAGATCGTACTCTGTACTTGTGTGTTGCCTACTTTCCTCCTGACAGAACGCGTGACGAATCATTGATTAAAGCCCACACGAACTCAGAGATTAGCTGAACATAATCTATAAACGCGTTAGCAAGAGATGTTATATCAGACGGGCTTACAACGACGACTCAAATCCCACCCACAATCTTTCTGGGATTATGTCAAACAGCAACGTAACGAGGTCGCCTTCTTCAATGAAGTGGAACGGGACACAAGCTATATGTGACACGTTTGCCTCGAAGTTTTCTAGGATTTTCTCTAACGAATTGCTATCCGATAGACAGATATCATCAGCATCTAGTAACACACAGCCGTCAGGGCTAGCTATGCCTGAAGTCACTGTCAACAATGATGCGATTATGGCAGCTGCACGTAAACTAAAAGTGTCAACGTGATCAGGTCCCAATGGAATTCCGTCGGTGTTTTTGAAGAACTGCATTGACAGCTTGCTCGAGCCACTTCAAGTGATCTTCAGCTTGTCGCTTTCATCCGGAGTGTTTCCGTCCTGCTGGAAACGTGCATACATGTTCCCTGTACACAAAAACAGTGATAGGAAGAATGTTGATAATTATCGCGGAAGCCCAGACCAGCATGGTTTCATTCCCGGTCGTTCAACCGCGTCACACCTTTTATGTCTCACTTCTTACGTAGCCGACAGTGTGCTTGAATAAGCACAAACGGATGTACTATATTTGGACTTATCCGCAGCATTCGATAAGGTCAACCATCAAATTGCTGTAGCGAAGCTTGAAAAGCTTGGAATTGATGGAACTCTTTTGGATTGGTTCCAGTCCTACTTGAACGGTCGTCGCTCGCAAGTAGTCATCGGCGAATCCACTTCAGTTTCATTTCCAATCACGTCAGGGATTCCGCAGGGAAGTCATCTTGGACCACTCATCTTCCTTTTATACTTCAACGATCTTGGAGGCGAACCAGCCCAAGGCTGAAAGCCTCATTAATAAAGTTAAATAATAATAATACTTCAACGATGTCAATGCAGTGCTGGATGGACCAAGGCTTTCGTTTGCTGATGACTTCAAGCTATATTTCAAGATTCGTTCTGAGGCTGAC